GTCGGGAATGCTGGAGTCATTTGATCTTGAATCATATGACACATGCGAATCTTGTTTATTGGGTAAGATGACCAAATCTCCTTTCACCGGACACGGTGAAAGAGCTGGTGATCTTCTGGCACTCATTCATAGTGATGTGTGCGGGCCTTTCAATACAACTGCACGAGGTGGTTATTCATACTTCATCACTTTTACTGATGACCTCAGTAGATATGGCTATGTGTATCTCATGAAACACAAGTCAGAATCCTTTGAAATGTTCAAAGAATTCAGGAATGAAGTTGAAAAACAACTTGGCAAAAGTATTAAAACACTACGATCCGATCGAGGTGGAGAATACTTAAGTGGTGAGTTCAATGACTATCTTAGAGAGCATGGGATTTTATCCCAACTCACACCTCCTGGGACTCCACAATTGAATGGTGTCTCTGAAAGGAGGAATCGAACCCTGCTTGACATGGTTCGTTCTATGATGGGTCATTCGACTCTACCAGAATCATTCTAGGGGTATGCACTGAGCACTGCAATATATACTCTTAACCGAGTTCCAACGAAGGCGGTTGAAGGAACACCATACCAGCTATGGACGGGCAAATGCCCGGTTCTGTCACACTTAAAGATTTGGGGCTGTGAGGCTTGACGCCAAGTCTGATAAGTGTTTCTTTGTGGGATACCCAAAGGAAACTCGAGGGTATTCATTCTATCACCCTATCGATAAGAAGGTATTCGTTGCTCGCAATGGTGTCTTCCTCGAGAAGGAATTTCTCTCCAACGCAACTAGTGGGAGAAAGATAGAGCTCGAAGAAATTCGAGATGACGAAGAAACTACCGCGCCGGTTCTGGAACATGAGCTAGAGGAACAAACCGTTGTACCTCAAAATGCTCAAGATGCACAAGAACCCCATAGATCTAACCGGTTACGCACACAACCTGAAAGGTATGGATTCCTCCTAACCTTTGAGGGTGACGTAATTCTTATCGACCAGGATGAGCCGGAGACCTACCTCGAGGCAATCAGTTGTCCCGAGGCTAAGGAATGGCGTCAAGCCATGCAGTCCGAAATGGATTCCATATACACCAACCAAGTATGGACTTTGGTTGATGCACCCGAAGGGATCAAACCCATTGGGTGCAAATGTATCGACTATGACGAAACTTTTTCTCCAGTTTTCATGATTAAATCCATTCGGATCTTACTTGCTATCGCAGCATACCATGATTACAAAATCTGGCAGATGGACGTCAAAACAGCTTTCCTTAATGGAAACCTCCTTGAGGATGTCTTTATGACACAACCTGAAGGGTTTTGCACTCCTGAAGAATCTACCAAGGTATGCAAGTTGCAGCGATCATTCTACGGATTGAAGCAAGCCTCACGGAGTTGGAACATCCGCTTTCACGAAACTGTCATCGGCTTTGGTTTTGAAAGAAATTCGGATGAATCTTGTGTATACAAGAAGGTCAGTGGGAGTGCTGTAGTATTCCTTGCTCTGTATGTTGATGACATACTGCTCATAGGAAACGATATTCCTACTTTAACCACCGTCAAAACGTGGTTGAGTAAAAGTTTCTCTATGAAGGACTTGAAGATGCCAGTTATGCACTTGGCATAAGGATCTATAGGGATAGATCACGAAAGCTGTTAGGTCTCAGTCAAAGTACATACATAGACAAGGTCCTCGCTAGATTCAGCATGTCTGAGTCGAAACGAGGAAGTTTGCCTATGGCCTAAGGCACGAGTCTTTCCAAGACTCAGGGTGCTTCCACTCCGGAGGAAGTAGAACGCATGAGAAATGTTCCTTATGCGTCGGCCATTGGATCCATCATGTATGCGATGGTATGTACGAGACCTGATGTCGCCTTTGCTCTGAGTGTCACGAGTAGATACCAGTCTAACCCTGGCGAAAGCCATTGGACGGCTGTGAAGAACATCCTTAAATACTTCCGTAGGACTAAGGATGCCTTCCTGGTATATGGCGGAAAAGAAGAGATCAGTATTGTTGGATATACTAATGCCAGCTTCCAAACTGATAGAGATGACTTCAAGTCGCAGGCATGGTATGTGTTTTGTTTGAATGGCGGAGCTGTTACCTGGAAGGGTTACAAGCAAGATACTACCGTTGATTCCACTACAGAAGCAGAGTACATGGCTGCAGCCGAGGCAGCCAAGGAAGGTGTGTGGCTCAAGAATTTTATTACCGAGCTTGGAGTGGTTCCTAGCATCAAGAACCCTATACCGTTGTTTTGCGACAACAATGGGGCAATTGTACAAGCGAAAGAACCTCGGTCTCATCAGAAGACCAAACACATCGTTAGACGTTATCACATCATACGAGAAATCGTTGCACGTGGGGACGTTGAGATTTGCAAGATAGGTACAGACGACAATATCGCGGATCCGTTGACGAAGGCTTTGGGAAAGCCTAAACACGAGAGTCATACGTGGTCCATGGGCATTCGAGAAATGCTTGATTCGCCTTAGGGCAAGTGGGAGATTGTTGTATTTAGGTGCCCTAGCGGCAATCAAATACCTATGTAACTGTACACTTTATCATGAATGAAAGGCCTTGAAGTATGTTTTATATCTCGTGTAACATAACATAGCTTCAGTCCATAAACGATAGCGCTTCAGTAACATAGATGAGGACTACGATGTTCTGATTATGAGACTGTTACTTCTTGACGAAGGCTATGTCTAGAATATCCCTAGTCGCACTTTATGATAATACGGACGTCATAACGTATCAAGACTAGTACGTACGAGATGAGATAGTTGCGTCTCATAGACTATAGGTATTGTGATATCTTAATCTGTACGTAGGTGCATATTATAT